CTTTCACTCTTGTGGGGGTATTTTGAAGCAATGTTGCTTTTCTTCACATCTTATTTCTAGTAAGATGGGTTTGTGGGGAGAGTGGGAGGACAAGAAAGGAGTCTTACTGTTTTCAGTGCATGCTCGATGCCTTGAGTTTTAGGTCAGGTTAGAAGATGGTTTCTTTTTGACGATAGTAGATCGGACAGATGTTTTGATACAACTCCAGAGGAAAAAAAAAAGTATTCTTTCCTATTACTAGTTCATGATGGAACTTCTGAGAACTGCTAACACCAGCAAAGGGAATTATGATATCTAAACCATGCATAGCGATGACTTCTTGGCTGAATGGACATTCTCGAGTGATCAAGGTTCAAGTTGTGTCACAAGTCCTTTGATTGAGCCTAAAAAAACAACACATGACTATTTCTTGGATAATACTGTGAAAAGATCAATCATGGAGTGCAAGTTATAATTTGTTAAAGCTGATGAGAAATGTGCCCCATAAGAAATTATATTTTCAGGAGGAAATTTATTAGTTTAGACAACCTTCATTGAATGTAAGCGACTATGTCTTCCTTTGTCCCTTCCATCACTCATTGTCTCACTTTCTATCATGAAATATTTGCTGATAAATGTTCCTTTTTTGGTTTGTCACAGCTGACAGCCCTATTCTTTATTATCTTACCAAAATTTTCTCATACTAAGTCAAATTTTCTTTTGGCATTATAAAGAGATAATATATATTTTAGGATAAAATATATTAAGTCAGTCAATATTTCATTATGCATTTACGGAATATTAACTAAACATGAGTAGACTAACATCAATTTGGTCAATATCAGTTAGCTTATAAGTTGATTAACATGCTAGTTGCATGTGACTTTTGCATCTCTAGGAGCTCTTGAGCTAAGTCCCTGATTTAGCATCCTCTTTGTGTAATTAGTTTCAGTTGATGGTTATCATTAGTTCACCATGGAGATATAGACAACCAGGGTCACTGTCAAGTTTGGGTTGAAAAGTTTCCAAACATGCTAATTGTTAATTGTCCCTCTTTTTTGTGATATTAAATAGACTTATATAATGTATGTCCACTCTTGTTCCGATATCTGGCAGCATACAGACTTTTAACCTTGTATGAGTATGGCCAATAATGTGTCTCAGTTCTTCCATCTTGTACTGGAAATTTGCTGTTAACTATGAGACCTATAAAAATAGTAATTGGACTACTTCACCAATTAATTATCCAAGTTCTCTTTATTGTTTTAATGTGTGTAAAAATTGTGCTAAGGCCATTGTTTTTTATTTATTTTTATTGTAATCACAGATATCTTGACAGCAGCGCATGCAATCTTCCAAAATCATAATGTGAGAAGATCTCTTTCTCTCTCTCTCCTTCTCTCTCTCTCTGTCTCTCTCTGTCTCTCTCTCTCTCTCACTGTGTATGTGTATGTATGCGTCTTTATTTGTATCTTTTATTTCTATGTTGTCTCGGGGATGTTATTAATATTTTCTTTAAGTAGAAAATTTGTCACCCTGGAGCAAATAGATTATGGGAATGGGGCAGGTAAACGTAATCACTTGCCTATCTTACCCTCTGTTTGGATGATGATATAATGTGGTTCATTAATATAGGGTATTGTAGTGGGATGACAAAATCATGTTTGTTTGCTGATAGTATGATTACCTTAGAGTTTTTTATGGTATTGTAAAGGTAAAATTTGGACAACTTTTTAAAACTACCGATTTGGTGATTTTTGACAGACGGACTAACATTTTTGTTCCATTTATATCCTCATTAAATTTTTATAATTCCCATTTTACCCTCGAAAAAATTTTTCTCAATTGCCCAACCTACTTTTTTTCTTTTCTTCTCTTCTCAATCTATTTCTTTTTAGATTTTTTTAATTTATAATTAAAAATTAAAAATTGTAGTTTTAAATTAATTTTTTATACTAATTATAAAAAATGAATTTTTATTCTTCATAACAAATTTATTTTTTGATATTTTAAGAAAAAAATTCAATAAGAATTATAGTTTAAATAATTTCTCAAGTTAAATAATTTAATTACAATTTAAATAAGTACTTTTTTCTTTTTTTTTTTCCTCTTAATATTACATACATTAAGATATGGATAATTTGGTAATTTGACTTAATATACAACCATATCAACCTATCAATACAAACAAAACAGCTGTCATTACCATATATTAATATATCGTCTTCCCGAACATGTTATAACCTATCAATTACTATCTTGCACACTTACCATATATTACCTTATATTAATGAATCATCACAAAAATCATCCAAACAGAGCATTAGAGGGATAAATGGTATAGTAGGTAACTGATGAGACGAACTTGTACAATAAATTTAACCCAACTTTCCCTGTAATTTCCCCTCTTAACCTTATATTTATTTGAGAATTTAAGGATAATTAAATGTTAGAAGGGGGTGCCATCCAAGTCAAATAATATACAAGGTCAAAAACCAGAATCTATATGTGGTTTTTCAAATCAATACCATCAAGAATCCCCTGTTGAAAAGAATACTCAGGAGATCTCAAGTATATTCTAGATTAATACCATCAAGAACTAAGGATCTCAAGACCAAATAATCAAAAAAATTCTCCATCCAGTGTTGGTTGTTAAGTTGTCTAAGTTAAATTACATAAGTATTTTAATACATCCCCTTGATACATGGGTTTTGCACCCCCTTGGTGTACGTATTTAATACACATCACACTTTTTATTTAAAAAAAATTTAAATTATAAAGGTCGCTAAAATATGTTTATAGTTCCCTGTTAGCTATTTATTCCTAATGGTACATAAATTTAAAGTTGCTTTATTATTTTTATAATATTTCTTAACAATACAAATCTTCCACGTTAGTGTGTTCTCATTAGTTGCTGATTTTTGAGTTAGTTAAGCTTCTTTTGCTAAGGAATTTGTTTGCTTTTTGATTTTGTGATATTGTTTGACAAGTAAAATATTATAATCACAATCTTGCTTTGTTTCTTTTTCAGGAAAAAAGAGTGAAGGCAAAAGAAATTCTTGGTAAGACTATGATCTTTCCATGCCATAACTTATCTTTATTTTCTTGTTAAGTATGTAGTGTAATATCTTGATGGAGCTCTTGATTAATGTAGATGCCATTATGAATGTTTATATCAAGTGCATGAGAGAAGATGATGACAAGGAAGTTGTTGCTCAGGCTTGTATGAGCATAGCTGACATCATGAAGGATTATGGTTACATGGCTATTGACCCTTGTATGTATAACATTAATTGACTTCTTGGATTAGAGGCCTTTTTTAAAACAAACACATTGGCTTCATAGGATCATCAACTGATTTGGTTTTAACTGCAGACATGTCCTCTCTTGTTGATGCAACCTTAGCATTGCTTCGGGAGGAAGCAGCTTGTCAGCAATTAGAGAATGATAGTGATCTTGATGATGATGATTCAGAACATGATGAAGTGCTTATGGATGCTGTTACTGACCTTCTTCCTGCATTTGCAAAGGCCATGGGTTCTAATTTTGCGCCCATCTTTGCAAAGCTTTTTGAGCCTTTGATGAAATTTGCGGTGTGATGGATATAATTAAGTGTCCATTTTGTTTTATAACTTCCACTTTTAGTAGCTCAGTTTTTTAATTAATGTGTATCACAGAGAGGATCACGTTCTCCACAAGACCGCACGATGGTGGTTGCTTGCCTTGCTGAAGTTGCTCAGGATATGGGTTCTCCAATTGCAGCATATGCTGATGTAAGTCCATCAAATTTATATGAGGCCTGACTTCTTTCTTTACTATATTCCCTACCTTTATTAGCTCTTGTAATGTTACTAATACTAGGAAGCTTGTTCCATTTTTCAGAGGGTGATGCCCTTAGTGCTCAAAGAATTGGCTTCCTCTGAGGCAACGAATAGAAGGAATGCTGCATTTTGTGTCGGAGAGTTATGCAAAAATGGAGGAGAGTCAACTTTGTCGTAACCTTCTGTTTCATCTATTTTTTTTTCCAATCCAATCTTTAATTCGTGTGGAATTCATGAATTTTGGCTAACTACTCCTTTATTCAATAATTAAGCTTAATACTCCAACTATTTAATTGGCTATGCTTTCCTAACACTTGTTCCACCTTTTTCTCTCAATTTTTTTTATAGTACTTGTAATTGCCCGCTTCTAGATTTCAAGGCCCATTTGTGTTAATATAGCTTGTATGGTGCATGTTAAAGATGGCTTTAACTCTTTAGGAATAGAGGTAGAGTGTGAGATGCTTGGGTTGCTGAAAGTAATGCGTTTAAAGCAGTATGGTGCTTTAAGTTACTTTGACAAGTAAATTCTTATTTAAAAAGTAAGTGATTGCGCATTTGGACAAGTACTGATTGTAAAATATAAGTAGTTGTGTTTTTTTTTTTTTAACAAAAAACTAATAAGAATATATATATTTGCACAACTATTTTATGATATATTAATTTATGTATATATTGATGATTTAAGAGGATATTAAGGGCATATATAAGTAAATTGATTTGGAGAAAAAGAATAATATAAAAGGTTAGGAGTAGCGTGCTTATTCTTTACTTTCTTCACATCACTTTTAAGAGTCTAATAAAGCCTCCTTTCCTATATGAACTTTAAATACCTATTGTAATCTGTCGTGATACTCTCATTTTTGTTGTGTTCCTCTGCATTCCTCCGCAAGATGTGATGTTTGATCCTTGGATTGGAGGCTTGTCCCTAGTCTCTCACCTTGAGCAGTCAACTATGTGTTTCCTCTCTCCTAGTAAGGCCCTAGTGATTAAGAGGAAGTCATTTAACGTTGTTGTAGTGGGGGGGAACTGCCTTCACGCTTTGGCTACTTGAAAACTGAGACAAAAAATTTCCTTCCCTTTCTACATTTGCATACTTGAGATTCCCTCTTTCTTCAAGTCTATGTAATTTCTTATGAATGAATGGTTCAAAACCTTGGTGTTGCAACCTTCATGGTGATAGGAGGGACTTGTTCTTATAGCGGGGGAAGATTAGTAGGAGAAACTATTTCGAGATGAGGAAAGTGAGTGAAGGTGGTGAAGGAAGATTTCTTTCAAGAGAGTATGGACAGTGATGGGTGGTGGTGCTTGCTTCTAGCTATAGATCACATTTGGAGGACCTTTGAAAAGGGTGATTGGCAGCTATGGCTCAGTTGATTGCTTATAAACCAGAAGCATAGGTCACCAAATTTGACAAAGGGATTATATAGCAATGGATGAGAACGAGGAATTTCTCCATGTTTGACTTGTGGAGGTACCTTCGTGGTAAGTTGGGAATCTTTAGCTTAGTGTTTTCATGCCATGATTGCATTTTACACCAGTGCTTTCTAGCACTGTACGCGCCTCAACCTAATGGCCCTAGTCTTCTACTCCAATCTCTCAAGCCTCGTAAGCCCAAGTGCTCACTAATGAGAAGTAGGAGTGGGTGATTTAGATTGGGTAGAAGATTGAGAGTACTTTTTACTAGGGCCTGGGCAAAGTAGTTTCTCCTAATAAAAAGGGGATGTCTTTTAATGAAGGTGCTTTGTTTTTCCAGACATAATTTTTCTTTGTTTGAATGTCAGTTGTCCCCTTATGACATTTGGAAATTTTTTCAAGCGAAGAGAATCAGGAAATGGAATTCTCTCTTGGGTTCCTTTCAAGAGGGTGAGCTGTTCACAGCAGCCTAGTTCTGCTCTTCCACACATATGTTTGCTGCTACCATGTCTGGAGATAATAAGGCCGATCTATCAATCGATTTCAATAGAAGTGGCAAAGATGGAATCTAATTGCAAACATCTCATTGGTGTCAAAGAAGAATGTCGATGAACACCCAATAAATGTGGTTGCTCTGTGGGGAAAAGGAGTTGATCTCTGAATGGGACGTGAGGAAGGTGAAGAAAGTCAACAAGCTGGTAGGGGTTTATTTTATGGTTTAAAGGAACAAGTGGAGCTCTTCAGAGCAATCAATCAGCAAGCCTAGCTTCAAAGGAGCAACAGGATGCGTTTGTCTCTACTCCAAGGAAGGGAAAGAATGGTAGAAGTAAGGAGAACATGAATTTTAAATGTTCTGTTAATTATGAGCAAAGGGATGGAGTTCTAAAGGGGAATAGACTTGGTTCAAAGGTTCATGTTCTGTCGTTGTCAAGGAGACAGATATTGTTAAGTTCTCACAATTATTTTCTGGTCGGCATTTTAGAGCAATCTGGTATCAATGCTGTATTTTATTTCTCTACTGCTGTATTTAGAAATGCTGGAGTACCATCAGACCTTGTAAATGTCTTTGTAGGAATTGCAAGTTATTCAGGATCTATTATTGTGATAATTTTGATGGATAGATTAGGCAGGATGCTGCTTCTATGGAGCCTCTTTGTCCAAATGTCATATTTTCTTCAATGTGGAAGATGTTGTGGAACTTAAATATGTTATCCCAGATCCTCCCTTAAAATCTTTTGTTGATTTTGTGTGGGTAGCTCCTTCTTGGTGCACTTTTCTATAATATGTTCTTCCCTGTTAAGAGAAAAATATGTTTAATATCATGGTCTTGTACTTCAGCAGTCTTTTTGTATGGATTTGGATCATTACTGTAGTTTATCTCCTTTCATCAGCATCAGATACTATGGGGACATTTTGCGAGGACTTTTCCCCCTTTTCGGAGAATCTGAGCAAGATGATGCAGTAAGAGATAATGCTGCAGGTGCTGTTGCAAGGATGATTATGGTGCACCCTCAGTCAATCCCATTGAATCAGGTTAAACTATTGGTTCTCATAATTTCAATCTTCTTTGGGTACTTCAACACTGCTTTTTTGTGCAGTGGTTATCAATTGACAAATTAATTATTCGGATCAGGTTCTTCCTGTTTTCCTGAAAGTTCTTCCTTTAAAAGAAGATCATGAGGAGTCCATGACTGTGTATACTTGTGTCTCTACACTTGTTTTGTCATCTAATCCCCAGGTATTTGTTTGAATCCTTGACTCAGTGGAATTTGTTAAGACTATATTTGGAACAAATAAAAAATTTGTTTAATTTATTTAGAAATCATGCTTTGTTTTAACTAGGACAAGGTACAAATTTTATTAGAAAACAATAAAAATTTAGCTCATAAAAAATCTCAAGTAAAATTAGACAAGATTTTGTCGATTGTAATGGAATTTGAAATGCATTGTTCAAATCTGCTTAAATTGCCTAAGAAATTGTTTTTTTTTTCCATAATCTTCCAAAAAAATATTAATCCCTCCTATGAATTATTTTTAATTTGTTCCAAACATAGCCTAGAATAATCTTTTATTTATTTATTTTTTATTTAATGTGATTGGTTTTCTTGGCTTTTGAATGGATAACAGATCCTCTCTTGTGTTCCTGAGTTAGTCAATCTCTTTGCACAAGTCCTGGTATCCCCAGTAGAAACTTCTGAGGTCAAAGCTCAAGTAGGTAGAGCTTTCTCCCATCTTATTTCACTCTACGGTCATCAGATGCAACCTCTATTGAGCAGCCTTTCACCTGCACATGCTAATGCTTTAGCTGCATTTGCCTCTAAAAGCTGATCTAAATCTGGTGAGTAGCCTTTTTAAATATTATCTTGTTTGTTTCTCAACGAGAGCAGTCTTCATTACATTGCTGTTAGAAATTCAAGCCAAAATGGAATAATATACTTCCATAGAAGGTAGCATGACTTGTTAACTTGCATACATGATATATGCTGAAGGCTTTAATTTGTTTTCAAACTTAGATATGTTCTGATTTTCATAGTGATTAATTATCTTATGTGCTGATTAACGCTAAAGTAGTTGTATATTAATCCTGAGATGATGCAAAAGGTTGCCTTGGGGATTTTTAGGTTACAAACTTTTTGCAGTTTTCAATTTTGTAGTTACAGGAGTTCTAATACTTGTACTGTCTTTAGCAGGTTTCTGATACTCCCCTGGTTCTGTGTGAAGATACTGCATTCTCAAAGGTGTTTTCTTCTAAATATTTTTTGATACTTGCTATCATTTTTCTTTTTAAATGTGAAATTTTTTGTGTCATATTAATTTTTTTTTTTTTTTTGTTTCTATTCGTTAACATTAATTATTATTATTTCAGGTGTGTTATAGGTTGAATTTTATAGCCACTTTTGAAGTGGTATGTAAAGTTTGCAATCACTTGATGTTTTAGTGAAAATTTTGCAATGACTTTTTTTCCTGCTGTTGGTAATAATAATAGTTGAGGCTTGGTCGTATGCATATTTGCCGAAAATAATCAAGCATTTAAAGGTTACATGTAAAGAATGAATTTGATCCACCTTTAAATATGCAAATGCAGCCCTTTAGATTTAATGTGGATTCACTAAATTTGTTTTTGTTGGGAAAATTAATTTTTAAAATACACAATCACAATAAAATAAAACATAAAAAAAAAAAATTAGAGTTAACATAGTTAGATAAATATGTTTATATTTACGGGTGTGATTGAAAAAAAAAAGTTTTTAATTATGATAATTTAAAAATATATTACCGATGAAGTTGTAGATTATAAAGAAAAATTATTCGGGATATATATAAAAACTTTCCGTGAGTTTAAGATGGCAGGTTGAGGAATTATGCCATGAGCTCAGCTCTGCTGCGTCAGCAATAAGCTCCTCTGCTTCCGTTGTTAGACTGCACAACTGCAAACTGAACAATAACAAAAGATAAGTGTTTTTAAGTTAATTTTCAGTTTCTGACAAATATAAAATTAAATATTAAAAAATATATATTTTTAGAGAATTAATTGTGCTTTATATTTCATATGTTAATAAATTAAATATTTTAACATAAATTTATAATATTAATTTATATTTATTATAAATTTTTGTGCTTTATATTTTATAACATTTTAAAATAAAATAATATTATTAATTTACTATATTTAGTGTAATAATAACATTTGTTTTTTTTTTCGTTTTTCTTATATTATTTTGTAAGAAAATTAATATAATTACTTGCGAACATGAATCAATATAAATTTTTTTTGGAAGTTTTAGTTTCACCCCACAAGAATAAGTTAACAAATATTTATTTCCAAAAAGAGTAAAGGATAATTTGATTAATATTAATAAATTATCCTTTGATTTGCAATTTATTTTAAAGCTCTTAAACAAATTAATAAATATTTCTTCAATTAGATTATCTTTAAGATTCTATTTAAATAAATTTTAATTATAGATAATTAATATATGATAATTAATATATAATTTGCAATTTATTTTAAAACTCTTAAATAAATTAATAAATATTTCTTGAACTACATTGTCTTTTGATAAATTTTAGTTATAGGTAATTAATATACTGATTAAATGATAATAATACAAAATGTGAATGATAAATTTTTTTTTTTATATTTAGATGATTGTATATTAATATATGTTAACGACAGCTGTTTTGTTTAAATAATAAGATGATATGATTATATTTTCAGTTAAATTAATAATTTACCCATATCTTATTATGTATAATAATAAATAATATATAAAAATATAATTAAATTTAAATTTAAATAAATAATTATTACACATAATCAAATTAAAATTTTATATTTAATAAAATAAATAATTATTATTTATAGTATCATATTAATTTAATTTTAATAAAAAATAAAATTATTTATATATTAAAAAAATAGTGATAATTATATATTATTATATTAAATCTAAAATTATTTTAAAAAATAAAAAATTAAAATATATTTAGAAAAATTATTTATTTAAGAAAATATAATAAAAATTAAACATATTTTATGAAAGTATAATAAAAAATATATTTATTTGTTCTTCATATATTACTGATTTAATAATTTTTAAAATTTATTTAAAATATGGCAGTTGAATATTATTTATTACTATCTCATCAAATTAAAAATTAAAATAAATAAAATTTTATTAAGTTAATAAAATATTATATATTAATCAACTATTATTTACCACTATCCAATCACAGGCTAAAATACAAAAGTTACGGCTAAATAAATATAACAATGGAGAAGGTTGTCTACATACAAATTTGCCAAATAAATATCTATAGCTCAACAAAAATATACCAAGATTTTTTAACGTCCAGCAAGCGTTGGCGCCTGCCGCCATGGCTGCCTACAATGGAGTTACAGCCTTTTTATCTTTGCATCCGAAAATATGGAAGACTTCTTCTCTATCTTTCTCTTCCTCTTCTGTTCACCATTTTCCGTCTTGTAGGTCTAATATCTCTAGTGACAGTACTACTAGCAGTGATGAACAAGTGAATACTGATAATAGCGGCGGCGACATTACCCACAAGTTTAGCTACAGCAGAGCTTCACCATCAGTGAGATGGCCCCACCTAAAACTTCCAGATGCTTCTTCGTCTTCTTCACCTCAGACCCAGTTAACGGCTGCTTCACCTCCATCGACTCTTTTGGTGGAGGAAGCCGGTTCTTCCGTATACACGTCTGTTTCAGGGGATTCTGTGATGGTGGGTGCTGAAAAGGAGGAGGTATTAGGAAGGCCCAGCAGGAACAGGGTTAAGAAAATGACGAAATTGGCGCTGAAGAGAGCGAAAGACTGGAGAGAAAGGGTGAAGTTGGTGAGTGATAGGATTTTCGGACTGGAACAAGGGAAGCTTGTCGGGGATGTGTTGGATGATCTGGTTGTGCAGATGACACCAACTGATTTTTGCTTTGTGGTGAAATGGGTTGGGCAGAGAAACTGGGAGAGGGCGTTAGAGGTGTACGAGTGGCTGAATTTGCGGCATTGGTATGCTCCCAATGCTCGGATGCTCGCTACAGTACTGGCTGTTTTGGGTAGAGCTAACCAGGAGGGTTTGGCTGAGGAGATTTTTATGAGGGCGGAACCCGCTGTTGGGAATACAGTCCAAGTGTATAATGCCATGATGGGTGTGTATGCTCGTAATGGTAGGTTCAGCCATGTTCAGCAATTGCTTGATTTAATGCGTGAGAGAGGGTGTGAGCCGGATCTGGTTAGTTTCAATACTTTGATAAATGCTAGGTTTAAATCGGGTGCAGCGGTGCCTAACTTGGCCATGGAGCTTTTGAATGAGGTGAGGAGATCGGGTCTCCGACCGGATATAATAACATACAACACTCTTATTAGTGCGTGTTCACGTGGATTGAATTTGGTTGAGGCAATGAAGGTTTACCATGATATGGAAGCACATGGTTGTCAACCTGATTTATGGACTTACAATGCTATGATTTCGGTTTATGGGAGATGCGGATTGGCTAACAATGCAGAGCAACTTTTCAAGGAGTTGGAGTCAAAAGGGTTATTCCCAGATGCAGTGACGTATAACTCTTTATTGTATGCTTTTGCAAGAGAAGGCGATGTGGAGAAGGTACAAAATCTTTGTCAGGAAATGCTGAAAATGGGCTTTGTTAAAGATGAGATGACCTATAATACTATTATTCACATGTATGGGAAGCAGGGCGACCATGGTCTAGCATTGAAGCTATATGAGGCCATGAAACGCTCCAGCCAAACTCCTGATGTGGTTACTTATACAGTATTGATTGATTCTCTTGGGAAAGCAAATAAGATAACAGAAGCTGCTAACATAATGTCAGAGATGTTGGATGCAGGTGTTAAACCCACTTTGCGGACTTATAGTGCCTTGATTTGTGGGTATGCTAAGGCTGGAAAGCAATTGGAGGCTGAAGAGACTTTCAGTTGCATGCTAAGGTCTGGGATTAGACCTGATCATTTGGCATATTCTGTTATGTTGGATATATTTCTCAGATTTAATGAAACGAAGAAAGCAATGGTGCTATATAAGGAGATGGTTAGTGATGGTTATGTACCAGATAATTCCTTTTATGAGACCATGATACGACAACTTAAGAGGGAAAACAAAATGGAAGACATCCAAAAAGTGGTTAGGGATATGGAACAACTATGTTCCATGAACCCTCAAGCAATTTCTTATCTTCTTGTTAAGGCAGAATGCTATGATCATGCTGCTAAATATTTGAAATTGGCTATTAGCAGCGGCTATGAGGTGGACCGTGAAAATTTATTAACCATTTTAACTTCATATATTTTAGCTGACAGGCATTCAGAAGCACATAACCTTCTTAAATTCTTAAGAGAACATAAATCAGGATCTAGTCAAGTGATATCTGAAGCTCTTATTGTTATGCACTGCAAGACTCATCAACCAGAGGCTGCTTTGCAGGAATACAGTCATAATTGGGAACTTCATTGGTTTTGCGGAAGTTGTGCTGTGTATGAGTCCCTTATTCAATGCTGCAAAGAAAATGAATTTTTTGCTGAAGCTTCTCAAATTTTCTCTGACATGAGATTTTGCAGTGTTGAACCTTCTGAATTTCTTTACCAAAGTATGGTGACTATATACTGCAAACTGGGTTTTCCAGAAACAGCAGATCACGTGGTTAATCTCGCTGAGACCAGAGGTATCAATTTTGAAAATTCTTCCATTTACATTGATATTATTGAAGCATATGGAAAAGTGAAATTATTGGAAAAGGCAGAAAGTATAGTGGGAAGTCTTAGACAAAGATGTAAAACTATGGACCTGAAGGTCTGGAATGCTTTGATACAAGCTTACGCCAATAATGGTTGCTACGAGCGAGCTAGGGCTGTTTTTAGCACAATGATGAGAGATGGTCCTTTTCCAACTGTGGATTCTATTAATGGTCTCCTGCAAGCGTTGATCGTAGATGGGAGACTTGATGAACTTTATGTCCTAATCAATGAGTTGCAAGACTTGGGTTTTAAAATAAGCAGAAGCTCTATTCTATTGATTCTTGATGCCTTTGTACAAGCTGGGAATATCTTTGAGGTAAAAAAGATCTATAACGGAATGAAGGCTGTGGGCTATTTTCCTACCATGTATCTTTACAGAATAATGATTAAGTTGTTATGCAAGGGAAAACGAGTGAGGGATGTTGAAGTCATGATTTCTGAGATGGAAGAAGCTGGCTTCGAGCCTGATCTTTCCATATGGAATTCTATGCTTAGGTTATATGCTGGAATTGAGGATTTCAAAAAGACAGCTCAAGTTTACCAAAGAATTCTAGAAACTGGATTTAGGCCAGATGAAGTTACTTACAATACTTTAATTGTAATGTACTGTAGAGATCGTAGACCAGAAGAAAGGGTTGTCACTGATGAATGAAATGAGGGGGCTGGGTTTGGATGCTACATTGGACACTTACAAAAGCTTGATTTCTGCCTTTGGTAAGAAGCAGCTCAGTGAACAAGCTGAGGAGTTGTTTGAAGAGTTGCTATCTAAAGGCTGTAAATTGGATCGCTCATTTTATCATACAATGATGAAAATATTTAGAAATTCTGGAAACTACTCAAAAGCAGAGAAACTATTGAGTAAGATGAAGGAGGCAGGAGCTGAACCAACTATTGCCACAATGCATTTGCTCATGGTATCTTATGGCAGCTCTGGACATCCCCAAGAGGCAGAAAAGATTCTTGGCAATTTGAAAGAAAGCGGGAATACAACTTTTTTTCATTGCCATATAGTTTCGGTTTATTGATGCATATCTTAGGAAGGGTGACTATAAATGTTTGGAATTTCAAAAATTATTGGGAAATGAAAAACGGAGGGGTCTGGAACCCAGACCACCAGGAAAATGGAACATGCTTTTATCAAGTGCTGCGAGCCTGGCACAGCTCCCAAGTGAAGCCATAATGCCTCTAAATGCCCCTTCCAAGATACTGGAATTTAATCTGCCAATCAGGTAGTTTCTAGGGTTGGTTTTCCCTCTAAATAATTTTTTTTTTTACCAAGGTTCCCTCTTACAAGATATGGTAAAAAATGAAGAAAATATTGTGATATAAGGCCGTCTAAGTTATTTCGGAGGAAGTATTTCCTTAGGAATA